GTGTGGATTAGATTGTATTGGAATCAGGAAGACCTGAGTTCAAATCTGGCATGGCGATAAATAAAAACACTTACTTGCGAAGGTCAAATGATATGATATCTGTAAAATTAGGCACATACTAAATGTTTTCTCCCTCCCTGCTCTTCCTCTTTGCCCAATGTGAAGGGGAGCATGAGAAAAGGTACACCTAGTACTAAGGGGTATAGACAGGAATTCAGTGTTTTCTGGGCGAAAGTAGAGTGTCATGTTTCCAAGATGGAAGGAGCTCAAGAGGAAGAGGCTTAATATGAAAGAAGGTTTGTTAATCATAAAAGAGAGGCTCGAAGAACCAAGAGAACATTGTACAAAGTAACAGCCATGTTGTGCGATGACTAATATTGATGAACTTAACCCTTCCCAGCAATACAAGGATCTAAGACGTCTTCAGAGGCCTCATAAATGGAAAATGCTATCCACATCCAAAGAAAGAACTATGGAGTGATTGAATGCAGATCAAAGCATACTATTTGCTATTTTTTTTCTCTTCTGTTGAGTTTCGTTTCATCTTTCTGGTGGTTCTTCCTATTGGTTCTAATTCTCACTTATAACATCACTAATGTGAAAATATGTTAAATAGGAATGTATATGCATAGCCTATATCAAATTTTGTGCTGTCTGGGGGAGGGTGGTCCAGAGGAAGGGGGAGAAAAAATTTAAACTCAAAAGCATACGGAAGTGATTGTTGATAAATCAAAATTTTTTTTAAAAAATTTAATTGAAAAAAAAGAAGAGAGACTCAAGAAGAGATAGTGAAAGAAGAGAGCTAAATTGGATAGGGACCCTAGATAGGTTGCTTTGAGATGGATGGGGATGAGACAGCATAGAAAAAAAATTGTCACTCCAAGTTATATTTGAACAGGATAAGGTCACTTGCTGGCTTTAGGATGGTTGGGTTTTGTTTTTGGTTTGGTTTTTTTACATTTCTTTAAAAGAATTAGGTTTTTGCCCTAGCTAGGCTGAATGGTAATGGATGACTGAAGTAATCAACCCCTGGTGGCTGAGGCTCTCATCTTGACAGCTCATAGGATCACAGACACAGAACCAAAAGGAGTCTTAGTGAGTAATTAATTCAACCTCTTCAATATATAGGTGAAGAAGGTGAGGCCTCGAGAGGTGAAATGACTTTCCCAAGGCCACACATTTAATAATTAGAAAGGAAGTAAAGAAATAAGCATGTATGAAGCACCTACTGTCTACCAAGCACTATGCTAAGTTCTTTACAAATACTATCTCATTTGATCCTCATGGTGATTCTGAGAGGGTAAGTACTATTACTATAATTATTTTACAGTTGAGGAAATTCAGGCAGAAGTTAAGTGACTTGCCCAGGGTCACAAAGCTAGTTAAGTGTCTAGGGCTGGATTTGACTCTAAGGTCTTCCTTCCTCTAAGCCTAGAGCTTCATCTGTTATAGCACTTAGGTCAACAGAACTGGGATTTGAACCTAGTTCCTTGGATTCTAAATACAATATTCCTCCCCCTACATCATGCTCAGTCAACTGTCTCCTGCCTCAGGAGACGTGCCTCTGGCTCAAATGAGATCTTTTTACTTGACCTGGGGGTTTGGAGAGGTTGCCTCACTGGTTTTCCATTTCCAGGACAGCTGAGCCACCTTAATCAAATTAGCATGAGATTTAATGAAAAGAATTCCAAAAGGAAGAGTCTGACTCAGCTGCTCCTAGCACAGGTGACTCTCCTAGGAGAGATTTGTTACTCAAATTTCATTTATTACCACAGGATACCACAGAGTAGTGATTTAATACTCCTGAAAAGGTGGTTCGCAAAGATCACTTACCAGCATGGCTCCATTTTTCTTTTTTGTGAACTGCCATTTTATCTACTTCCCCTGAATTTTTAGTACCTCCCTGAGGGGTAAAGAGGAAAAGGAGGCCATCACCTGCAAGGGCTTTGTGGTCAAACTGGAAGCTTAAGATTTATTTTAAAAAAAAACCCAATCTACAAGCTTCAGGAGTTTTATAGAATGATATTATGTGATGGAGAAGTCTATGGGGGAAATTCATCATGTGTGGGAAAGAAAGGAGATAGACACTCTCCTCTGCTGCTGGTCCTGGCATGCTAACACAAGACATCAGAAGAACAAATTGTCTCTAAAAGTTCAATAAGCTGTTAAAGCTAACTTTCATGAAAAAGGTAAAACAAGAAAAAAGTAAAGTGGGCATTATTGAAGCTGATGGGATGCAGGAGTGTCAAGAGAAAAGTGTGGTGGGAAGCAGTTAAGCTCATAAAGTGACAGATGAACACAAAATTTGCGCATGAAGTAAAAATTGCCCTAGTATGTCAAAAATCATTTTATTTTTTTTAACCTAAGTAAAAACAAAAAATTTGGTTTCCAATAAAGCAACAAGCATTTATTAAGTGCCTACTGTATACCAAGAACCGTGCACTGGGGATACAAAGACAAAAAAAGAAAAAGAAAAGAAACTATTCCTACTTTCAAGGCACTTATATTCTATCAGGACTTGTACTCTGAACTTTACAAAATCAGTCCAAGATAGAAAAATAAAAACTACAATAGGTATGTATCTGACACATAGTTAATAATATTTGTTGTTAACAGTCTAACCCACTGAAAAGACTACAAGGACTTCAGAGTAGTTTCCTCCAAACAAAGTAATTGCAATTTGGTCTGAGGACCATGCTCTTGATACAAATGCGTGTCCTCATGCTAATAATACTATTCAACATCATCACACAAAAGCTTCCTATTATCTACAATAAGCCTTTCATTCATTTATAAATAGCCTAATCTGAAAGTGGCATTTGATCTGACCTTACCAGTTGTTGCATGAGAGACCAAAATTCCATCAGTGAAGAAATATCTAGAACATAGAGGAAGGGTTTGAAAAAGAGAAGATGTTTAGAAAGAAAAAAAATCAATTAGAGAGATTGGAGTAATATGAAAAAGAAAGTTTTGGCTTCTGGTAGTCTGTAATTTTTTAGAAATTCAATGATAATTTTTCATATAGATGTTCTCATACAAAGAAACATCACCCTTAGGGTTTCTGCCCATTTCTCCTATACCATTTGATAATAAGTGATAACAGTTAATATTTAGTGCAACCTTAAAGATTGCCACTCACCTAGTAGAGAATAATAAAGAATAGTCATTTCATTTGCGCCTCTAATAAAACATGTCTGAAATGAGCCAGTCTGGCAACTCAGGTTCAAAATTCAAACAAAATGAGACATAGGCAAAACATCTAGAAGTTAACAAAAGGAGTTTTACTTAGCCATATGTAATCGAAAGGATTACGTACCGCACAGATTCAATTTGGGTTCGGATCTTGTTGAGGGCCGATCTTAAGAGTCTGATAAGGGTTTAAGATCCAAGGCAGAGTTTGACTCAAAGGATTAAGTGGTACGGCTCCCCAAATTCCTTCCTGATAAAGAGGTCACTGAGACATCCCTTCTCTCTCTTTGAACCTTAGGTTTACATATTTACTCCTCTATGCAGGTGGCACCAAGGTGCCTGGGAAAACCTTGGAATCTACAGCCCAATGCAGGAACCCTGGTAAGGAGGAAATTCATGATTGTTACATCCTCGGCAGATGTTCTGGGGAGTATCTCACGGGGAGGACTCTTTGAAGTTAGGCTAGATTTTCCCTATATATTCTGTGCCCTCGGATGAATAAACTGAGTCAGTAATTCTACTCCGCCTGGCCCATGTCATGAGTTATTTCACGCCTCTCCGTTCGGTGTACAATCTGGTTGCGGGCAACAGGATCTCAAGATATAATGACACATACTCAGGATAAACTTAACAAATAATCACATTTATTTACAATGATTATTAATAATTAAAAACCACACAAGCAATAAAGGTAAGAATAACATTCAATGCAATAAGTAATAATCAACATAAAGGAAAGTAGGAATAAGAAAAGAAAGGATATACACTCACTGACCAGGTGAGCTCAAATACCTAATAGACGAGGGAGACTGGAGAACGGCCAAAAGGTCTGGTCAGGGAGACAACAGGGAACATCCTACCCCAGAACACAATGGAATCGGTGCACGCAGTCCACCTCTGACAAAGAATTGGCATCCCTATCTTTGCAACCAAAGTCTCCGAAATCTCCCTTTCCAATGACCCTTTTCATATCCGTGTAAACCAGGGAAAAACAATCTTGATATTTTGTTTTGCGTACATCTCCTTGGCGAGTACTCAGATCCAGGGTGCATCAGAGCTCCAGCTACCTGTTTAATGTGTAATTGTCCAAGGAGTGATCAATTCCTTGGACAATTACATGCTTTTCTTGAGAAAAATGTTCCTTGAGATAGATTGTTTTCCCAGGTAACTGTGTAGTTGTTACTTAACGTTTTAGTTTCCTTGATCCTGGCCACACTTTGATGACTCCATTTTACCTTTATGTCAGGTCATAAGGCGGTTACACAGGGGGCTGGGGAGGATCTGTCCTCCTCAGTTTCCCTTACACCCTAGCAGGGGAATGATATTTAAAATGGGGAAAGGATATTCAGCGAGGATATAGCATTGATTCATTCAGCACAACCTTCTTGCCTCTATGTTGTCCATGGTCCTGGGTGATCTGTGGTCAGAAACCCGAGGGCGTTGACACTGAGCCATATGAGCAGCCCAAACCTTTGGTCCCTGGAACCAATTAAGTCTCAAGGATACTTTTTTTTAATTAATTTATTTATTTTTAATTTTCAACAATCACTTCCATAAGCTTTTGAGTTTTAGATTTTCTCTCCCTCTCTTCCCACCTCCCTCCCCAAGATGGCATGCAATCTGATACAGGCTCTACATATACATTCCTATTAAACATATTTTCACATTAGTCATGTTGTAAAGAAGAATTAGAACCAATAGAAGAACCACAAGAAAGAAGAAACAAAACAAAACAAGAAAAAAAAAGAAAAATAGTATGCTTCAATCTGCATTCACACTTCATAGTTCTTTCTCTGGATGTGGATAGCATTTTCCATCATGACACCTTTGGAGATGCCTTAGATTTCAAGGATGCTTTTGATACCTTCTAAGGAAATGGGGACAGGCCTTATGCCATTGCCCTCACTACATCCCATTCCTTAGTGGCAGAGTCCTAAAGGTCTTCTAAAGCAGAAATGTCAAATATGTTACCCTGCAGGTCTGCATTATAGCCCATGGCATTCCCAAGTTGGACAGAAACAGATTAAAATGCAATTGGGAAATCATTAACAAAATAATTAAAGATACAACAGAACACAGATAATGTTAATATGTGATTGTCTAAGTCATTATGTGGCCCACAGCATGTAGTTTAATAGTTTCTATGTGACTTTGGCACACTGAGGATCTTCTACTATTAAAATGTCTTCCAGCACTATTACTGGATCACTTTGACCTTGGCAATGTGAGAAGCCTTGCAGATGCAGAAAGGGAGGAGGTAAAGAAGAACACAGAAAGACAGCCAAAACAACAGCAGCCATAACAACAAAAGACAATAAGCAACATAACGGCTCCATGAAGGAGTAACTGAATATAAGACCAGAAATCCCAGACTTCATCTTACAGCTTCAGAACCATGGCCTGGATCTTAATAATCTGGTCCAGATGGTAGCATATGATCCCAAATCTTTGTAGTTCACAGTAGGTCTCCTGATGTTTAAAAAAAAAAAAGTGACCATTAACAGAAGTAGTACCAGGAAGAAGGATAAAGCACAGATAATGATACTTCCTGAATAGTCACTGATCCTCATCACAGGTCAAGGCCCACCACACTAAGGGGGCTGAGAGGTTTGTGGTGGGAGAAATTATGTATGTTAAGTTAGTTTTTCTTTAAAGAGTATTGAAACTAAGGGGCAGCTAGGTGGCACAGTGGATAGAGCACTGGCCCTGAAGTCAGGAGGACCTGAGTTCAAATCCAGCCTCAGACCAAACACTTGACACTTACTAGCTGTGTGACCCTGGGCAAGTCACTTAACCCCCATTGCCAAAAAAAAAAAAAAGAGTATTGAAACTGTCCCTGAGATTTCTGATTAGCTCAGGGGGAATAATCCTTGGACCCTCCACATACTTTCCTGGTCCTCTGGATATAAAACAACCAGGACATGAAAGACTGGGGCTCCTTCCTAAAGTTTTAGACCCTGCACTAGCAACATGACCCACGCCTGGGATGCTGTGCGCAACTGAATCAATACCTTATCCTGGAGGAACATCCCTTCCCTGCTCTGAATATCCTCCACTTGCTATGGCAAAGCTAAGGACAACGAGGTGGCACAGCAGACTGAGTTCCACGCCTGGAGTCGGGAAGACATGAGTTCAAATCTGCCTTTAGACACTTGTTGAAAGTTATGTTGACTCAGTATCCCATTGTTCCCAGGCCTGTTTATGAGTCAGTGTTGGGGGAGACTTTGGTGGGGAAGGAGACACCAAGTCTGCAGCTTTTTATATTACCTGTTCTTTGTCAGGTACCCCTATCTGCAAGTTGTCACATTCTTATTCCCTTGGGGAGGAACTGAGCTGCCAGGGCCCAGCTTCTTTTGCTGAGGTTTGCCTATCTGGTAAACTGTTTCCCACCTTAAAGCCATTGTTGATCTTCAGTGATCAGCCTGTCAAAGCATTGCTACTTTCATGTACTTATTTTTTTTCTTTTTTTTAGGCAATGGGGTTAAGTGACTTGCCCAGGGTCACACAGCTAGTAAGTGTCAAGTGTTTGGTCTGAGGCTGGATTTGAACTCAGGTCCTTCTGACTTCAGGGCCAGTACTCTATCCACTGCACCACCTAGCTGCCCCCTGATGTACTTATAATAAAAGACTGTTAGCTCTCTTTTTCCTTAGTTTGGCCTCATTAATCGAGGTGAAAAGCCCAAATGAAGAATTTTTCTTTCAACACACTTCCTAACTGTGTAACCTTTGGCAAGTCATTTAACCTCAGTTTCCTCAACTGTAAAATGGGAATAATAATAGCATCTATCTCCCAAAGTTGTTGTGAGGATGAAATAAAATGATATTTATAAAGTACCTAGCACAGTACCAGGCACATAGGAGGTGCTATATAAACACTAGCTATTATCGTGATTACTATTATGGCTGGGCAGCTAGGTAGAACAGTAGATAGAGCAGCAGGCCTGGAGTCAGCAAGACCTGAGTTCAAATCCAGCCTCAGACACTTACTAGTTGTTTGACTCAGGCTAGTCACAATGATGGGGTATGGGATCTGGACCCCTCCCCCTTTTGAACTTTCCCAAGAATTTCAGGAAGCCAGTCCCTGAACCCAGATCCCTGGCATTCACCTGAGGCATCAGGCTCATCCCAGTATAATCCTTTCAACTGTCCTTTCATTAAGCCCCCACCTCCACCTTTTCATTCTCTGTTACCTCTGAACCACCCCAGGCTACTTCCCACTACTTAATTCCATCTAGACTCCTTTCTCTGTTACCTCCAGACTGCCCCAGGCTATTCGCCACTCTTTAATCCCATCCAAATCTTCCCACAATCTTTTTTCCCTATAAAAATATCCATCTGTGTGGGACAGTGACCCTAACCCAAATTAAACTCAGAGACTTCTCAAGGTGGAAAGCAAAAGTTACTTTTGTTACAATCTCGGGAGAAGGGGTGTCTGCTCCCCCAGTATACTTCCAGGAGGAGAGAGGCCAGGCACAGAAAACAAAATGAGATTATATACCTTAACTCAAAAAAACCCCTCCGCTCACCACTATCCCTTACTCCCATTGGCTGGGGAGGCAGGCTTCCATTCTAGGCATGAAAAATCTTCCTATCCCATTAGCTGGGAGGCGGGCTTACATTCTAGGCGTGAAAATTCAAAGACAAAGAACAAGGAAACAGGGTATAGCCAATCCACACATACATGTCCTTATTTAGTAAATCTAATGCTGATATAGCCGTGGTGTAGTGATCAGGAGGAGGTTTAGGGCCGAATTCCCACGAGTTAGGTAATTCCTAGGAAAATGAAATTTACTGCAGTTTCCCCTCCCTAACCCCCCTTCCCCCTTATCCCAGAGACAAGAAAAGGCGGGAAGCTTTTCAAAGGGCAAACAGTTCAGGTTGGGGCAGGGCTATTCTTTCTGCTGAGCATTTAAAAAAACAGGGTCTGAGAGGGGGAGGGTTTCAATCAAGAAATATCGTCAAGAATCATTGATCCCCTGAGGAGGCTTCACTTCTGAGAGATCATGTCTCACACATCTTATCGTCATCAAATGCATAGACTCACTGGGAGTGTGGCCCGCTTGTTTTGGCCCCCCAAATAAACTTGCTACTTGGACTGAAAGAAGGCTTGAGTGGCTGAATTCTTTTGAGGCAGACCTGTGCCCTTTACCTTTGCATTTCAGGGTTCCCAGCACCCCTAGACTGCAACAACATAGCCCTCCCTATTTGTCTCAGTTTATTCATCTGTGAAATGAGCTGGAGAAGGAAATAGCAAATCACTACAGTACAATAATGAGGTCAGGAGAATCAGACAAAACTGATATGACTGAACAACAACTGTTATGGCAAGGTAAACATCCTTTTTGACTGGTTGATGAATTATGAATCTCATATTTCATTCCAGTGTTGGACCTAAACTACCCAAGGACTGACCTTTAGTCAGGCCCAGACCATTACAATTGTCATACTGATGGGGTTGAGATCTGGGCACCAGAAAGGAAAAACCCTGGACTTTGCTACATGGCCAAATCTCTGGCATTTGCCTGAGGCTATAATCCCATCAACTGGCCTTTCATTGCGGCTACACCCAATCTCCCTTCCATTGTCTTACCTCCCTATGGCCCCTGGCCATTTGCCTTCCCATCCAGATCTCCTTAGGCCCATCACCCCAAACTACTTGGCCACTCCTAAATCCCTCCCACAGGCTTTCTGTATATAAGGTCCATCTTGTCTCTATTAAGATTCTGGGATTCTTATAATCTAGCCACTGCTGGGATTCTTATAACTAACCATTGCTCAAATTCTTATAATCTAGCCATTACACAGATTTTCACAATCTAGCCAATAGCCCACAGATGCTCAGATTCCTTAAGAGTCTAGCTAATATGGCGAATCTTCAATAAATCTTGTTTTTGTCTGAAAGAAGGCTTGGGTTGATTTCTTTCAGACAGGACCTGTGTGTCGTGATTTTGGAATTCCAGGACCCCTAACCTCTAGACCTCATCAATAGCAGGTTTTGGAATGGGATAATCTCCTTGAAAGGGGAGTAGATGATGCAGAGGAAGATGAATTTTAAGTGGTCCCCATGCTTCTTTTATGATTTCTGGCAAAGGTAGCCACTTACTCTGAGGCTTCCCTCTATGGTATTAGTGAGTAAACTGTGGCTGTCCAGCAAGAAGATAGCAATGGGAATATGTTCTGTGTTCTTAAGAACTGCACCTTGAAGATAATCTTAATAAACTGTCCTTTATACACACCAACTGTGTTGTCTTTGGGCCTTCCAGGCTGGTAATTTAAGCCTCCTCCAACTTCTTTAGAACTCAGTTTACCTTCAAGCAACATAGACGGATCAAATTTGGAGGACTGAAATGATTTTTTTTTCTGAAATAGAAAAAGAAATGCAGAAAGATGAGATGTGCTTGGCTTTTGCTGGAACCTGATGTCTTTATATTACAGATGGTCTTCACCTAATTTGCATGGCAGGTAGATGGAAAAGCCCACTTACAGCTACTGAAAGCTTTAGAGTTTTCTATAATGTAAGTTTGATACTATTGTATCTTGGTAGTTTAAATGGAATGGTCTTTGTCTTCTGGGCTTTGCTATGAGATTTGTGTGTGAATGGGGAAAGAACCATTTGGTTTTGAATGGCTCTTTTGGACACGACAAGGCAGCTGAATAAGTCATCCTCAGTCCTTTAAGTCTTAAGTGTAGCCCTTCCACTGAGGGGTGACATGGTGGATCACCAGTGAGGGAATACAAACCAAGGCAGATCCCTGGAATGTGAGGGTTGTTTAACAACTACACTAAATGAACTTTGAGGGTTTTTTTTAAAATGTGGCACTTGAGAGGACATTGGGAATGGAGCTACATGGAATTTGTTGATTCACTGGTGAGAGGAGCTGAGGGATTCACTTGAAAGGACAATGATTGATTCTCCCCCGAGGAGTCCAGAGACCTTTCTGGAATTGGTGACATGGGCCCATTCTACACCCATTTAATTAGCTGAGAACAGGGAATGTAGGAGCGGTTTAATCAGAAAGACAGCTTCCCCTCTTACTCTCAAACTGCGATCTGTGTGTGTGTGTATGTGTGTGTTTGTGTGTGTCTCTGTCTGTTTCTCTTTGTTTCTGTGCCTTTGTCTCTGTCTTTCTCTGTGTGTCTGTCTGCCTCTCTGTCTGTCTGTCTCTGTCCCTTTCTCTTTATGTATGTGTCAGCCTCTCTCTCTGTCTCTGTCTCTTTCTGTGTGTGTGTTTACCTCTCTCTGTCTCTGTTTCTGTCTCTGTGTCTCTGTCTGTCTCTGTCTCTTTCTGTGTGTATGTCTGCCTCTCTCTCTCTCTCTCTCTCTCAATGGCAATGGATTTTGTTTTCCTATCTACTACACAAAGAACAATTCATCTGTCTGAAAGGTAACTTGTATGTTGATGCAGAAACATTTCAGCAATGTAGCTTTTTCATTGATCATTGTACAGCAGGGCATTTCATTCCCATCACTTCTGACTACTCTAATTTTGATATAAAATCAAGTAGTCTTGAGTACACAGCTCATTTCAAAGGAAAACATTTTCCCTGACAGTTCCCATTACCTTAGAAAGTGACCCTAGGCCCTCAAAATTTACTAGTAGTAACAAACGATATATCCCTTATGTTTAGGAAATAGCATTGATTTTTAAAGAAGACTTAGCTAGGTGCTACTAGCTCTTCTGTTTAACACTGGTATGGGCTCAAATCAGAGATGTTCTGAGACAAAGGACTAGTTTGTTTCAAGTAAACGGCAGTTTTTGGAACAATACAAAGGCAATCCAAGCATTTTCCCCTGCCAACACAAACTGACAGGAAAACCGGTAATCTCTACTGTCAGGTGCACTTAGCCAATTAAAAAAAATACATTAATAAAATTAATAAGAATCAGCTGGAACTCAGCAAAGCTTGATACCTGCAGCTAAGTCCTGAGGCCACTTATGTAACATTTAAATATTATTGACAGTCATTGAGTGATTGGCAGCCTTGGGCTCAGACTCTGATGACTTCAATCTAAAGGCACAGGGCATAAAAACAAAGCCAGGGGGATTCCCAAGGAGCCTTCTTAGGCACTGCAGATGTAGCAGTAAGAAAACTGGGGTTGGGGTAGATAGTAGATCCTTAAAATACTGTGATAAAATGAGATATGGATTTCTTTGCTTACTTTGTGTATTTAAAAGGAAACTCTACTGAGCAGATTTTAATAAGCTGACTACAATAAGTCATATTCTATCAACTAATCAATTAATAATTAAGCATTTCTATGTGCCAGGCACTGTGGGGTATAAAAAGAAAAATGAAATAGCCCCTATCCTCAGAAAGCTTACATTCTATGGGGGAGGGGAAGTAATAACATATACATATATGTAGCATCAGTGTTGCTATGGAGATGCGACATTCCAGCATACACTGTCCCAGAGTTTACCAGTTGGTGACATGTTTTCAACTAGGACTTCTGGGGAATTCTGTGAGAGAGGAGCCAAAAAGAGGATTTGTTCTCCATTTTCTGGCCAGATAGGCTAGCAAGTGTCAAGCAGTGCCTTTGAGTGCTTGCTATTCTGCTGTTCCTTCTGAGGCTTTGACAGATACAGTTGCTGCTACTACCATAACTGACGTTATTGTTGGTGATGGTCAGGTGGAAGATGGGCCAAGAGACTAAGAGATCTGGGGATGGTAGTTGGTGAGCAAGGGAAGAGAGCAACTCCTTTAACTGCCCACTTCCTCTGAGTTGGGTTTTTCCCACTTTGGGAAAGGAGTGAAAAGCAGAAGAGCGACTGGGCCAGGGCCAAGATAGCAGAGTGGTAGGAGGATGTACAGTCAAGCTCCAGAAAACATACCAGACTGAGTCCTGTTTAGGAAATCTAAGGGGAAAAAAATCACCATGAGTCATATTTCCAACCCAAGTTAGCACAGGGAGACAGAGAGGTCTACAGACACTGGGGATGGATTTTAGTCAGCAGAGCACCACACTGAGCATGCCAGTGCATGGGAACAGAAAGAGGACCTCGGCTACATCAGAAGAAGTCCCAGATCAAGGCCTGATTTTGTGCAAGATGTAGCAACAGGTGCCAACTGGTAGCTCTGGCATTAACTTCCTAGTTTCAGGTCACTGATGCAGGGTAGGTTTTTAAAAGGAACTAGCTCCTAGGGGTGGCATTCCAGGGTAAGGAATGGTCACAGGCTCGAGGTTGTATGCTCAAGGAACAAGTTAAGAAGCACATAGTAGCTATGCTTCTCTGACCCCAGGGTTTTAGTTATAGCCTCTAGCCCAGTCTGAAGCTTGCAGTAGAATAACCAGGCCAGGAATTCCAGACAAAAAGGGAGCCTAAAGGTCTGTCTCTGTAAGTCTGCAGAGCTTTGCAGCTGGATGGCAGTGGTTGAGTCCAGCAGGAGTCTACTGAAACTGCAACCAAAAGCAAGCCCATAGATGTGTTGTTCACACGTAAAATCCAGGTCAGAAAACTACAGAGCTCAATGAGCTCAATGGACGGCAACGATCAGGTTTTGTTCTGTACCAGACCATCTTGGTACTAGTAAAAGTTTGCAGGTGCCTGGCCTAAGCTATCCTTGAGAGCCTGGAAAATCACAATACTCAATACCCCCAAGAAAGTATCAGAAAGACCCAACAGGACACAATCTCCCCAGAAATACTCAGAGTAAAGCCTTAACACAAAGCCCAGAGTCAGGAAGCAGGTTTAGGAATGAGCAAACAGAAAAAGAATCTCACTATTAAGAGTTATTAAGATGGGGCAGCTAGGTGGCACAGTGGATAGAGCACTGGCCCTGGATTCAGGAGGACCTGAGTTCAAATCTGACCTCAGACACATAATACTTACTAGCTGTGTGACCCCATTCCTAGCCCCATCCCCAAAAAAAAGAGTTATTAAGGCAACATGAATATTCAAAACATGAACTTAAAAGAAGATAATGGCTCCAAAACATCTACAAACAAAGCCTCAAAGAAAAACACAACTTGAATACAAGTTCAACTAGAATTTCTGGAAAAATATGAAGCAAGAGCTGTTTTGTTTTGTTTTTTTCTGAGGGGGCGTAAGAGCTAATATTTTAAAAACCAAATGACTGTTACAGGAAAAAATGGGGAAATAAATGAAAGCTATAGAAGACAGATTTGGAAAGAAAATTAATATCTTGGAACAACAAATAGAAAGTCTTACCTAAGAAATAAATTTCTAGAAAATTAGAATGGATGAAATAGATGATAATGACTCCATGACACAAGAAATATTAGATCAAAGTCAAAAGACCCCCAGAAATGGAAGAATATGTAAGGCATCTCATAGCAAAAGTAAAAACAAAAAACCTAACCTTGAAACAGATCAAAGAGAGAATATATAAGAATCAGCGAACTACCTGAAATTCATGACCAAAATAAAGAGCACAGCCATCATCTTTCAAGAAATCTTAAAGGAAAACTGCCCAGATCTCTTAGCAAGTAGAAATAGAAAGAATCCATACCACTTCCTGAAGCTCCAAAATTCTAATTATTAAGAACATCTTAGCTGAAATCCAAAGCTTTCAGGTCAAAGAAAAAATGCAAGCAGCCAGAAAGAAAGAATTCAAGTACCAAGGAGTCACAGCAAGGATCACACAAGATTTAGCAGTCATCATTCTAAAGAAACAGAGAGCTTAGAGTATAATATTCCAGGAGACAAAGAATATAGACTTACAACCAAAAATAACTTACCTAGTAAAACTGTATAATCCTAAAATGAAAAAAAATGGACTTTTTAAATAAAATAAAGGATAAGAACATATTACTAAGCTCTGAATAAAGAACAGAGAAAAGGGTCAGAGGAACAGAAGATTACATCACACCTAGAGCACTGATGCTGAGGCACTCCTCTCTCATTACCCTCTTTTTCTTTATAAAGAGGGGGAGGGAAATAAAAAGAAAGAAAAATATAAGAGAACTAAGGAAAACAGTGTTAATTAACTATTACAAATATGAGTCTGAATAGGATGAATTTACCTAAAAAAAATAGAATGCATTAGAAAGCAGAATCCAATAATGTTTTGTTTTAAAAGAAACATACTTGGAACAGCAAGGTGCATGAAGAATGAAAATGAGGGGCGGGAGCAGAATCTATTATGCTTTAACTGAAGTTTAACAAAAAAAGTCAAGGAGAACAATAATGATCTCAAAGAGAGCAACAGCAAAAGTAGACTTAACTAAAAGAGATAAACCACGAAACTATGTTTTGCTGAAAGGTACCATAGACAGTGAAGTAATATCAATATTAGACACACATGTACCAAATGGCATAGCATCCAAATACTTAAAAGTTAAATGAATTATAGGGAGAAATTGACAGTAAAACTATAATAGTAGGAGACCTGAATTT